CCTGTCACAAAACTGACAGACAACTGAAGCCCACTGAAAATAATTGGGCTCGGAGGTAGAGTACGGCCCAGTAGAGGCAGGTGGGCGAGTGGGCTGGGGGAAGCCATCAGGCCCATAAATGATCCCTGGCTTGATTTGGTTCCTTGGCCCGCTGGTGGAATTAGTCTGCTGCTGAGAACGAAGAGAGCCACTGTTGCCGTTGCAGGGAGATATAGACGACTGCTACCGCCGGAAGACCCACCACCATGGCCACCACGGTGGCTTTGTCCAGAGTAAAAAGCGGTGGGAACAACATTTAGAGGAGACTGATCCTTCAAATCGGCCTCAAATTCCACAAGGGAATCAAGAAGATCCTCGATGGAAATGACAAATCCCCTGGCACGAACAGCTGCGGTGAATTGATTGTACTCTACCCCTAGCCCCCGAAGACAATGAACAACCAAATCCAAATCTTTGACAGGTTCATCAAGGAGGGCCAGTTCAGGCGCTATGAGCTTCAAATCGTTGACGTAGGTAACGACGTCACGATCGCCTTTAGTGGCGGCAACTAACTTTCCATTAAGATTAATGATTCGAGAAGTAGAGCGACTAGCATATAGTTTTTCCAGAATCAACCATGCTTCTCGGGATGTAACTGCAGCAGATACATAAGAATATAGGGATTCAGATATGGAGCAGCGAAGAGCATGAAGAATGAGTTTATCCTGATGATACTAGCGGCGATATGCGGGATTAGGAGAGGTGACTGAGTCTGCTGTGATCGTTTGAGCAGGGGCCACCACCCGAACCATCGATGAAGCCAATAAGCTCCAATCCCATGAGTAGAGTCTCGAGTTGCGAGCGCCATGAGTGAAAGTTCGACGAAGTGAGCTTCAAGGGCAATTGGGCAACAGGATTAAAAGTGACAATGGGGTCTTTGTTTGCCATTGAGTGATTGGAACTGGAAACAGTAGAACCAGTCATGATGATAAGGAAGAAAAGGGACACCGAAACAGTGGAGACAGATTGATCGGGAATGGAGAAACATGGGAAGTAGATTGATTGAGAATGGATAGAGTTTAGCTGAACGTTGCCTGCTCTGATACATGAACGGGTTTGAGAGAGATGATTACGTGAAGAATCAATTGACTTGATTTCATTAATGATTTTCAATGCTAATATACAGGATTATACAACAGAAAAAGTATCCCACTCTCCTAAAAGTAGGAGCCGAGCAGTAGTGGGAGAGAAAAGGAAAAGAAGAAAATAAAAAATAGTTTTTATTTACTAAATATCCTTAATACATCGCATCATTCAATCATTCATCTGGTTTCGAAGATTACTCTTGATATATTTTGCGTTTTGATACTAGGACAGATAATTAACATTCTTTTAATTAAAGAAGTGTGTTTAATAAATCAAAAACCTCTTCTAGCCGAGATGGTGAGATTGTTCACTAGAAATCACTGGGTCAGTGGTTTGATCACTAGTTCCCACTATATATACTGAAATTTTTTTTTGTCCAAAACCAAGGGGGCTGCATGCACCCCCTCATTTGCACACAGCTCCGCAACTGTGCGAGGGTCTTCGAACATATGACCTTTTGGTCACAAAAAGACTATAATACCATGTCAACAACTAATTGATCGCTTTCCCCAATAACTTGAATTGTTAGATATATTTAATTCTGGATCTATACGAACAATCCAACCATAAGAAATACAGGTTAAACCCAAGTTGCCTCATATGAAAAGTAAAATAAAATTAGGGTTAATAGCATAAATTGCCCCTCTACTATGGTTTTTCTCAAACCTGCCCCTATACTATGTTTTACGTCAAACTTGCAATCCTACTATTACCATTATATCAAACCTACCCTTCCGTTAACATTTCCATCCGGGTGCCGTTAATCCTGGTTTGACCGCTCTGAATCCAAAAAAGGGGGACAAGAAAACTCTAATGTGCTCCTCCATTTGGGTTAATTCCGCCCCTGTAGTTTACCTCCCCACTCTATTATATCCATCTGTTCCCATTTAATTATACAGAGTATAACAAGTTCAATTTCCACTCTAGCGGGTGATAAATATAAAGAAAATTTGGTTGTTAATTAAAAAATTCACCTTATATAGAAAAGTTTAGCCGCTTCAGGAATACTCTTCAGCAGCAGCTTGTTAGTTCACCCCAAGAGGCAAAAATGTTGTCGCACAAAACAAGATACCGATGCTAAGTTACAAGCATAAGGATAGGGCGGAACAATCCTGAATGACTCTCCAATTGTTGTGAATGGAATATTGGAATTGATCATTTTAGATCAAATGGTAACAAACACGGGGCTCACCTAGTAATTTATTAAAACATCGAAGGGAATGGACTCATGGGCTAGGACAAATCATCATGGTGGTAATTCTATCTAAGTAGGATTGACAGACTCAATCTCTAGGTCCAAGGAGCAAACAAAGTTGTGAATGATGGTCCGACATTGTCAAATTATTCAAAGTCCATTCTCATGACGAGACAATGTCTAACTGTAAGGGTAGACCTAAAGATGGAAGGTTTTTAATGGTTTCTAAGTTTGACACAGGATGTGATCAAATGGTGTATTTTCGGAATACACATTTAGAAATCACCTATGTGAGTGTGAGTGAAGCCGCTTCAAGGAGAATAAAAGAAGGCCAGTTCTCTAAGCACTCATGAGACCAGGCAGTGTTCATGGCTAAAACGAACACAACAATGAGAAACAGTGAACGGATAAGAGTTAGTGGTGTGACATATGTTGTCTTAGTATACAAGGAAAAACGATGGTTCAAAGATATCACATCTATCGATTGGTGAGTATACTCGATATATGTTCACTAAGGAAGGTTCAAAGGGAAACATACCTATCCCGATGCAACTAATTCTTAGTCGAGAATCACACGAGTTTTTGCATAGTTTTTAAAATACAACATTCTCCATTCATGTGGGGGATTGTTGGGATTTTTAGTGGTGTGAATGGTCATGAAAGGTGAAAGATCCAAGAGAATCTCTTGAAGTACCATGTTGGTAAGATGTGGGATAGCGTGGCCGCGAATTCGGTCAATTTGATGTAATATGTTGGTAAACGGTAATATTGGTTTGGGTAACCAACCAGACTAAATCGAGTTGAACCAAATCGAACTGACTGATATGGCGGTTGGAATAACCTAACCGGTCCAACTACCATGGGCCGAATCGATGCACTGGTTCATTATTTTTAAAACGAATCAATGTGTTGGTTGGCGTGGAACCATCCATATGAAAAGTTGTCTCCCTTCGTAGCACCCTTCATTCTCTATAAATAGCACCATACCCCCTCAAGTTTTGACTACGAGATATATTAGAAATACACGTTTTCCCATACCAAGACTCTGCCAAAATCTAAAGCGAATTTTTCAGCATTGTTTTTCTAAGAGAAAATAGAGTCAGTCAAGTGTGGTTCTTGCCGATTCGCTGCGTTCGATGGTTTCTGGGATTTGAGTTACCGCTACACCGGAAAAGGTACGTCCTTTCTATACTAAGAGGAATCATTCCATAACCTTGAGTACTAGAGGGGAATAAGATTCTTTAAAAAGAGAGTGAATTATATATCGACTAGGACGGTCATATGTGTCTTTGCATGATTTTTTTTAATCTTATATATTGCTTGTTTTGCAATGATTTAGTATATGTGAACAATTTCCACAACATTACTTACACATAGATTTGTAGGCGCCTTAATAGAAGAGGAGCGAGATTGTGCGTTGAGTTTAAAGTTAAAGCAACAACAGTATTTATGTCATTTGTGAGTGCGACAAACTCCGAATAAAGTACCTGTATGATTTACCAAAGATAAAAATGTCCAAAACCAATTAGAAACATAGATAAATAGAAACATAAAATGTTATATGAAAAAAATGAACCCAAGATACCAAATGCATCATACATATGCCAACAATATTTTCCCAACATGTTTACGTCAATTTGAACCCAAGAGTGTTCTACAAAATGAATATGGAGTATAAATTAAGGCTAAATGTAAATATGTTTACGTCAATTTATATTCAACCCTTATTCTTTACTATAGTATCAGAGCCTTCCACATGAAATTGTGAAGACCTTTATTTGAAAATGCTGTTACTCCTTTCTATTTTGTTGTATGAAAAATTTCCATCCCGTTTTGAGTTCGAAGTACATTAATTCTTTTCATTTGAAAGGATATTTAACAAAATTCTCCAAAACAAAATTTCATGCAACATATCAAATTATTGAGATGAACTCGTTTTCCCCGGCCACTGACCTCCATTGCTGGTAGCAAAGTATGAAATGGAGACTTCACAAAAAGAGGTGAGGAATTGAAGTGGAAGTAAACAAATTTGATGAACAGAGACTTAATTACTTACTGTTCCCACTGCTGTGCTGCGTATCTAGTCCTACTATAGTAACTGTAATAGCTCATCGGTAGTGGATATCCGGTCCTTTTACATTTCCTATGCCCCTTTTGATAAGATCAGAAACCAGAGAATAGTTTATCCAATTATGGGAAAGAAATATATTGACGATTTTAGATAGGGATGGGAAATTCAAGTTTATTGTAGGGGTCATTTGAAGAAAAGGAAAGAAAAAATAGCCCTTTGATTCAATGAATATTTGAACACTAACCCAACAATCAAAAGTTACCAATGATCGGTGGAGACTAAATGTTAATCTTACTTGTGTGTTCACAAGGGTAGTGACATAACTATAATTTTATACAAGGAGGATTCGATTTGGAAAGACGAAAAATACTAAAATGTCTTCAATTTCTTTCTCACAATAACCGGTTTTGTGTTCTCGTAAATGGAAAAGTTGGCAACTACATTCATCACATACAAAACTATCAAGGATCGATGAAATTGGTGTATAAGTCTTACTAAAAATCATTCATGATTTCGTCATTTATTTTAGTTCGAAATTTTTTTTCTCGTAACTTATTGTCTAATGTTGATATGCTATATATCAAGGCAAGGGGATGCCTAGCTACGCTTCCACCCGAGCGAACAACTAACTACAAACTGTATTTTGAAAACTTACTTGTTCACCGTGTCAAGGAATTGAAAATAAATATGGCACATGATTAATAAAAAAAATTATTGCACTCCCTCCACTCCACTTGCTAGGAAAATAGAATACATGGTTGAAAGGGAAAAAGTTTTTGGGAAAAAATAAACTTAACTTTCATAATCTTGCTAATGCACTTAACATTAGTGAATAGTGATTGATATTGAGAAGAAAAAGAGGAGAAGCAAAATCCAAAATATTAAAAAGTGTCATTATTAAAAAAGAAGTGACATATATTTTCCCTTACTTGAAAATTCAAGCCCACCAATTCCCTCCTCCTCACCCTTTTGCTTACTTTGTTCTACAAAACCCCAATTCCGTCCATCATATCACTCTTTACAGGATTCCATGCCAAAAACATTCATATAACTAGCTAGAAATCCAAGTTGCAACTGGAGGTTCAAACTATTTCCCAAAGCAAAATCACAATATTACCATTTTACACAAGAACCATACTCCCTAGTTACCCAATGTGTAGTGCATGGCTTTGGTCATCAACAATATTTGTGATGATCTTCATCTCCATTTTCTTTATCATCCCTCATCCTCCTCCAAATAGTACTACATGGCCTTGGCCTCAAGTTGCAACTTCCATGGCTTGCCTTCTTTTGCCACTCACCATCATCACCTTGATTCACTTCTTGCCTCTATTGATACTCCACCACGATCATCACGACAACAACAATCTCCCCAAGGGCTCCTTTGGTTGGCCTTTGCTTGGTGAAACCCTTGGTTTCCTAAACCCTCACCCATCCACTTCCCTTGGAGCTTTCCTCCAAGACCATTGCTCCAGGTAAGGCATTTAGTATGTCGCAAGGTTCGAACTCAAGATGTTGCAATCTCAGAAATGTCTCATTTTTGTGTGTATCGTGTTACGAGTATAGGAAGGTTTTCAGGTCACATTTGTTCTTGTCCCCAACTTTGGTGTCCTGTGATCAGGAGCTGAATTACTTCATACTTCAGAATGAAGGGAAGCTGTTCGAGTGCATCTACCCAAAGCCCATCCATGGAATTCTTGGCAATGTGTCGATGCTTGTAGTAGTTGGTGACACTCACAGGAGGCTTAGAAATGTTTCTCTGTCTCTTGTCAATGTCACAAAATCAAACCCTGAATTCTTGCATGATGTGGAGATGCATGACTGCAACTGTGATTATGAAATCATGGTGTGGGAAACAGCAGGTGCTGTTCTGTGAGGAAGCCAGGAAGGTAAAATAAAAGAAGAGTTGAATTTGGGCAATTGCTCTGTCTTGGTTCATAACCTGCTTGTGAAATGCTGATAGACGATTAATTGCACATGTTTATGCTTCCATTCTTGAGCCGTTTAAGAGATGATTCTCGTGTTTTAAGCCGATTTCACGCTAGGTTGTGCGTTAATGTCATATTTCAGGACTTGGCGTGGACATGGAGGCGTAGAAACAAGTTTCAGATAAACAAGGAGGATGTTGGAGTGAAGGGAAGAAAATACCCGGTCAGAAGTTAAAATACCCGATCGGGTAAAATGCAAGAGGAGGCTGGGGATATCAAGTTTTGGACGCCATAATTCCAGAAGGGGTCCCGACCGGATAACTAAAATACCCTATCGGGTATTCTGAACCTCGATCGGGTATTTCCCTTTCCCCACTGCGCTGCGTTTCAAAATACCCGGTCGGGCAGCTGAAATACCCGAACCGAGTATTATGGTCGGGGATCGCAATCTGCTCCCTTTTGAGGGAGAGAAGGCCAATTTTACAAGGGTTCCAAGTTTTAGAGAAAGAAAGCAGATACCTAGAGAGAGAGAGAGAGCGACGAACCAGAATCTCCAAGCGCCCTAGATTTGTATGTTAGGTCTGATTGTATGAATCCAAGTACTAATTCATTGATATTGATTATATTCAATTGGGGTTTGATTTCCTAAATGGCATGAATCCTGATCAAATTCCTGTTATTTCTGCTTTGACCTAGAAAGAGAATATCTGCATAGGTTTATAGAGCACCCTTGATTGAAGGTAGTGAATTGACGACTTTAGTCAAGGAGTCAATTCACTATTCTGTACCGGGTTTACTTCGGTAGAGGAGGTTTGGTTCGTTAGGGCCTCAATCTGTTTACTCCGGTGGAGGTTAGTCGCCCGCTAGGGACTCAGATTGAGCGGGTATGGAGACCTTTACTCGAGACTGCAGACTGTCTAAGAACCTCCCGCGGTATAACTATCATTGAACTTGAACTTGGTGTATTACAACCTGGCTTAACTGCAGTCTAGGGGGAACCATATCTGGGTGATCTCTATCAACTTTGAACACAACTTTCACTGCTCTTGCTTGCTAGTTTAGTTAGACCTTCACTACACTTGAACCGCTAAATAATAAAGGTTGTCACGGAGTAGTCATCACACCTAGGACCCGGGTTGACATTTATAACTAAACCCGATATACTGCGCATTAGTAGGTGGTTACACTTGGCCACTTTCTAGTGTGACGGTAGAGGCCTGTCAAATGCCTAAGAAAGAAAGCTTTCAGTCTTCTGATCAGGGGTTTCTACATTTTGCCTTATTCATAGCCGGTTTAAAGAAATTCCCTCAGGCTGGAAGGTTCTGCTTGTTTTCACTGCTGTTCTTTTGGACCCTTCTTTGCATCCAAATGCTCTCAAATTTGATCCCTGGAGATGGGAGGTAAGTCTAAATCCTGTTATTTCATGAAAATTTCAGTGCTAGCATAAACATGTAGAGTGTCAACTGAAGGGCTCTTGTTGTAAGGCAAAGGGCTTCTGTTCCTTAATCGAATCGGTTTTAGATAGCCTACGTGGAACGTCGATAGTGACGAATCATAGAATACATGCATTGTACCTATGCAGAGTGAAGATCAAACATGCAAGAAATTTACACCATTTGGAGGAGGGCTAAGGTGTTGCCCTGGGTCTGAACTGGCCAAAGTTGAAATTGCATTTTTCCTCCACCATCTAGTAGTGCAGAAATTCAGGTACATTATAACATACATAGTAAACATACTTGCTGGACAAAGATTGGGAAGTCTTCAAATATGATCATGTTTAAAACCTACAACGTGCAGATGGATAACTGAAGATTAAGATGGACCCTTGGCATTTCCTTATGTTGAATTTGAGAAGGGTTTGTTGCTAAATCTGGACCATTCATAATGATGAATTCAAAGCTCTTTGAAGAGTTCTTTTCTTCTGTAGTTCTGTAAGTTTTTGAGAAGGTTTAATTAGGATGATTATCTTTCAAACTTTCTTTTCTGTTCCTAATATGTATACATATTTTGCCACAACCATTATATTTGCATGAACACATACACTCTCTTGGTAAATAATGAGAGGAATAAACAATGTGTACAGTGTGAATGCAGCAACAAAAATACTTGACAATAATGAGATCAATTATTATTAGCCACTCTGTAGAGAGGCCTTATATTATAGCCATCAAGCAAATCTTTTAACTGCAATGACTTAACAGTTATAATGACGATTTTGATTATTACAAAACCTTAACTTGAAGAAAACCACTAACTTGACCATTTCAGAACAATTGGACTCTTCACCTTATGCTTTCCATCTTCCCAAACCAACCCTCCAAACACATATTCCTTCCCTATGTTACCCACCTTACCACCATTGAATACAACCCTAAAGCTCTTCACTTCTCCAACCTTCTTGAACTCCAAATCATCTGGCTCAACCGACACAGAGACCCCGCTCGGGTTCTTGACTCGGGCCCGGTAAATGCCTGGTGAGCCGACGTTCGTGACAGTCCGAGTCACGGTCATTGTGCCATTGAAGCTTGGGATGGTTATGGAAGGGTAGTTGTAGTTGGAGAGGGTGATGGGCTGGGAAGGGCATTTGTGGGTATCATCTTGGGTGAAAGATGAAATTAGGGTATCATTGTAACCTAATGCACATAAGAAGTTCAGGTGGTCTTTGATAGTTAAGTCATAGACCAGGCCTGGATCCATGGCTTTGTTGGGTCTAATGTGGCCTGCTCCATAGTTGAATGGGTTTGCCATTATGTTGGATGCATTGAGGATTGGCTCTAGTTTGTTGTCCCTTGTACTTGCTGTCAATACAGAATTAGGCTTCATTAGACTTAGAAATGGTGGTGTTCTACAAAAGGACAACAAAGAGCTAGCAAAAAATGGTTGCATGCATCTTATTGTAGTTGAATATTAATCAATTACCAGTTGTCATGATTGCTGATTTAATCGTAGCAGGACTCCAATGTGGATGCAGAGTTTTGAGAAGGCCGACAATGCCAGCAACATGAGGGCAAGACATGGATGTTCCAGAAACCGAGTTGAACTGAACTCGCCTGGTATCAAAAGCTGCATTTGTTGGCCCTTGTGCCTCTGTATAGGCTGCAATTATGCTAACTCCTGGCGCTGTGATGTCAGGCTGAAATGTAAAGTCATCGTCGAATCAGTACATGACTTACCTTCGTACATCTTCCAACAACTTTGAGTTTTCATTCGAGGCATGTCTCGAGCTATATCAAGACAAACCGAAGAACGGATCGTGCTTCAGCCTACCTTAAGGATATCAGGGGTAATTTTGTTTGGTCCCTTGGATGAAAATGCAGCCATGAAAGGTGCTGGTTTGGTGCCAGTTTTTGTTTTTGAAGGTGTGATGTATGCAGTAGGTTCCCTGCCAAAGAGAGCAATATGAAAGATCATTTAAAGGGTTAATATTTGACATAGAATTGTGACAAGAGTAATATCATCTAACTTACTTGGTGGAATTGATGTAATGGAAGATCTCAAGACCACTGCCATAATTGACATGGGAAGCAGGAAGGATATGAGCATCAGCAACGACTTCATTCCCAGTGCTCAGATCATTGGCAAGCACCATCCCAACTGCACCAACAACGGCAGCTTGCTCACCTTTGTCAACCCTTGCTGTGATCCCTCTCAAGCAAACTAAGATCTTCCCTGTCACCTTCTTGGGATCAAGTGTCCCAGGCTTGCACAGCAGCCTGCACAACCCCACAAACAACAACAACAACAACAACAACAACTAAATACTTCACTTCAACTTTTTCAATATGATATATTGATAATCACACTGAATCGAATTCAACTCGATTGCTCCTCTTACGCGTCTTGAACAGTAGCATTCGCTGCTTTAGCATCTGCAGCACTCATCATGGGTAAAAATTTGTTCTTTCCAAGTGATTGAGGTGACAGACTCTCTCCCTAATTCAGACCAACATCATCAATTTATCCCATCATCATCAACAACAGAACGACTAAACTCAATGGATGAAACCAAAACAAAAACAAGAAAAGAGACAATACCTTGTATCTCATATGGTTGCCAAGAACAACATAGCTAGGGAACTCCCTATCCATGGTACTAGCACCAACAGTAATCTCCCACGGCGCCACATTGGACACAGTCGATTCGACCGGGCCAGAGTTGCCTGCAGAGCAAACGACAACAATCCCACTGTTCACCGCGTGAAACGACCCAATTGCCACACTGTCGTTGAAAAATGCAGTCGGTTCACTGCCGAGGGAGACAGACAGCACATCGACACCGTCGGCGATGGCTGCATCGAATCCAGCAATTATGTCTGCATCGAAGCACTCACTACCATTGACTGGTGGGTAGCAGATTCTGTAAGCTGCTACTCTGGCTCTTGGCGAGCCTCCTTTGGCCGTACCGTTGCCGAATCCAAAGACACTTGCTCCAGAGACAAATGTTCCACCTAAATAATAACATATAGTGAGAATCGAACTCGAGAACACAATATGTCAACCGCTCGAGCAGGAGCTACCATTTTGTATGTGGTTACATTACAAACCTGCTGTAGAGAGGGTGTGGGAGCCATGGCCATCTGGGTCCCTTGGGGAGAAGAAGGTAGGGCCTAGATTGCCTCCCGGTACTACTGATGCATAGCCTTTGTTGAAGTACCTTGCTCCTATCAACTTCCTGCATTGTAAGGAAACAACAAGTTCAATATGTGGTCGTTACATTCATTGTTGAACCAGGCAGTGGTGGATCCAATAATTAATAATTAAATTACATAAGGATCCCACAATTAGTTTGGTTGTTAGGTTTTAAAATAGTTGAGGATAAGGAATAATGTTTTTACTATTTCATAGTGTTTAAATAGTTAAAGAAATGAGCTGCAACATAGAGAATATGTTTAATAATAGTAGTGTCCAAAGTTTGAATAACACAAACTACCATTTATATTTTTTTTTAATCTTATACAAACTACTATCAAGAGTAGGATAATCATTTTTTTTTCAAATTTTAATGGTGTCCCGGATTACCAATTAAATTTTTTTTCCATACAAAACTACAACCGAGGATTGGATAATCATTCTTCCAAATTTTAGGGGTGTCCCGATTCTTCTAAATTTTAGGGGTGTCCCGGGACACCCCTAATTGTTCAAGTATCCGCCACTGGAACCAGGCACTATGAGTTTATTGGAATGAAAGTTTGTTGACAAAGTCTAGAAGATGTGAATTCTTTTTTTTTTTTGGTAGAAAGATGTGAATTCATTCGATGTTACAAACTATGATATCATGTCAATACTTAAATAAGATGCCATAATATCATGTCAATAATCAAGTTTAGTCAAAATTAAAAAAATTTGATAAAATTATACGGGTGGAATTGTATAGAACTATAATATCACATACGTAAGAAGTCCAAGTAAAATATTTGTAGAACAAAATAAAATTAAATAATTAGTTAATGACTCGAGTTATTAGAATGAAGATAGGAACTCTAGTTTGAAACTTTTTCTCTTAGTACACTTTGTACTTCAATGATTGATTGTTATGTATATTTAATTTCGTCGTACTAATCCAAAAGGTGTTAGATAAATGTAATCCAAGACCTTATACGACTATAAAATCTAGTCAGACCAAATGGTTTGGTTAAATGGGTTTAAACACATTATTTATCGTCTTGAAGTCTCGTATGATCTTAATCTTTTTTTTTTTAATTATCAACATATACTCGTATCCCACGGGATCTAAGAGGTATACATGAAAGTTCACAAAAGATTTAAGCACTTGTTATTTATCGTCTTGAAGTATCAAATGATTTTTTTTTGTCAATAGATACTCGTATTCCTTGACCTATTATAAATGTACATGAAGGCTCGCAGATGGTTTGAGCACTTGTTTATTTTATCGTCTTGAAGTCTCAACTGATCTTTTTTTTCAATAGATACTCGTATTCCACAATATCTAAGAGATTTCATGAAGGTTCACAAAAGGGTTTAAACACTTATTTGTCGTCTTGAATTCTCAAATGATTTTTCTTTTGTTGATAAATACTCATAATCCACCATATCTTACAGATATACATGAAGGTATACAGAGAGCTTACGGAAGAAAAAAAATAAAATCTAACAAACCCTGGAAGATACAAAAATCGAATTCTTTTTTACCATACAATAAATTGTAGAAACAACGATTCTCATAAGAGATTGTATAATACGGGCAACTAGACGAGCCGCATCTCACGCTTTTCCAGGACAGACCTTGTTGATGATAACAAGTCCAAGAATCTTAGTTAAGAACCCCATACGTGACTTCCATTGTCCTAAGTGAATTCACTGGAGACATGTACCATATATATATGTGCACAAATTTTTTTATTCAAGTTTGGACTTTGGGTATTTGATCACACGAGAAACTCTTAGAAAGTTGGGTCCATTTTCTTGAGTCTCAAGATCAGCCTCTGGCTGTGTGACACGATCGATTCCAAACGAATAGTATTGTCAAAGCAAAAAAGGATGGGGAATCTTGAAAGCTCAGTTTGAGTGGATATACTAAAGTTTTGTGTAGAAGAAGAAGAATATGTTCAATAGAAATCCTCCTGGGCATATCACATTTGCATGCTTCAAGATTCCTCCACGTTTGGACAAACATCAAATGATGACATTTTACTCACTCTTTTTTTGCCCCCCCCCCCCCCCCCCCCCCCCTTCTTCTATTTGTCTTGGACCTTATGGAAATTTGATTCTTCCCCATCTTGATAGGAAGTGGGATAGGATGCGTAGAAGGATGATTATAGTAGCCAGACTTTGAGTATATGGAGTCTTTAAAACTTCAATAATATTATAATCTTTATATCTATTCAATTTTGAATTGATTGGGGTCCTTAGATGAACTAATATTGACAAGAGTATGGTGTTAACTTGAAAAATCATACTAAAAGTTATATATTTAAAGGGTTTTGTTGTAAGATTTTTTTATCAAGTGGGGTCTCATCTTCACCTCCCTCCACCACTGAGCAATGAGCATATGTCTTTGCTTATATCGTGTTGATAGGATTTGAATCGGATGATTAATCTTCTTTGGAAGTCATATGAATTTCACTGTCGATCAGCGAGTCGGTGTTCAGGGGCAAAGCATCCGGTTGGGTGCTCGTGAAAGCAAGGTTCTCTCCTCACCTGGATAGGAAAGGAGAAATACTACATATACTTCTCATACGTACTACTCTGTAATCTGTAATCTTCGCAAATATAGTGAAACTGGCTCTCTCCTCGCCCATGGACTAGCTAATAAACACTGTGTTAGAGAACCACACGCAAATATGTGTGTTCGCTTCTTTCTTGCTAATTATTGTCTTTTTTGCACCCTAACCCACAGATCCATTACTCGTGTGTTTTCAGTCGTTAGGCTAATACATCAATATGCAATAATGCGCTAATTTAGTGTTGGAAATGTGTGGACGATAGAACGATGTAGAAAAGAACATGCATATATATATATATATATATATATATATATAAGTAGCTGGTCGAGCTGTCTTTCGATAGTGATGGTGAATTGGAGAGAAAGAAAGGAGAAGGGACCAAGAAGGTAAAAGGAATATTATCGTACCTGTTACAGTGGAATTGAGGGTCTCTATCGTTTTGGCAAATTCCATTCCACTTTGAAGGAATCGGTCCCAACCCTTGGTCGCTAAAGCTTTTGGATTCCGCCCATACTCCTGTTTTTTCATAGTCAATGGAATATTGTACAAATAAAAAGCCTAAAGATTAGTGAACCAGACATGAAAAGCCATACTGAATATTCATCTATATCGCTATATATGTAATACTGATGATTACTGACTAACACCGCATAAAAGAGAACAAAAGAGTTGACCAACGATTATTAGAGTCGAAGGTAAACTAAATTCCTAATAACATTATTGCCGACTCAATTATGACTTATTTATTATTGTAAGTGATTATATAGCATGCAATTTAATTGATACCACGACCTTAGTATTCCCCTAATTATTTTGTTCAGTGCAAGCATGTGTTATTTTTGACACGATGTCGGGTTGCGTCAATGCAAGGTGTATTGACGTAGCCAGAAATATATTTTAGTGGGGTAAACAAAAATAATGAAATGCAATCTGTGTTCGACAATAAAGCTAGTGTTTTGTGAAGAGGGGGGTCCATGGTTCGAAATATGCAAGCTACACCTTAAAAATTCACAATTTTTAATGTGTGTTCAGTGGTCCTCTAAACTATCTTCGTCAATGAGAGTGATAATATAATGTATTAATGTATATTAGTAGGAGTGTGCAAAGGTTTAGTATACGTGCCATATTTTACTAGACCAAATATTTTGAGATTCAATCTTTATCCCTTAAATTTACGAGTACTAAAAAAAGAACAAATTGATATTTACATCGGACCGAATATAATAACGATCTGACTTTTTGTCCCATTTTTTTTACTATACCATTACGTTTCTCACGATTTGGTCTGATACGATTGCACACCCCTATATAGTAGAGACATTGTGTTTCCAGAAGAAGAGAATCTCCATAAATGTGGATGCTTAGAAAAATTTAGTTACAAGTGGGAACAACTTAAGCAAAGCTCCAAGAGCATTTAATGATGGTATTGAGTGGCTCCAAATCCTACTTAGGATTTGATTAATCACTCAAATGGCTCATACCTCATACTTCAATCTAAGCCATGACTCAACGTGGTTCTTGGAAACCGAAATTTTCGGATGGGTTGTTGTTTTCACGTGTAGTTAATTAATTTTATATGTCTGTTATCCAAATTTTTTTAATAAAAAATCAAATCAAGTATGACAAAATGACAACTCAGTCACTTATTACTTAATCACATCCTAGATGAGAAATGAGTTTATGATTAATTGATTAGGGATACAATTTGAAATAGTAGTCAGGTTAAAAGCAAAGTAAGCTTAATCAAATCTAGGAAGAGTATAATATTATGTTTAAGCAACATAAGAAAAAAAACTAAATAAATTTTTATAATAAAACGGTTCAAAACGGAACGAAATATTAAAAAAAAACACACACCTCATACTCTAAATTACCGACAACTCAAATGTTACCTAATCAAAACAAAAGTCCAAAACAATGAATCCGCCAGAATGATCATTTCATTGTACACTGTTGGATCGAGCGCCAGCACTTCGCGATCGTCAGATTGACACAGGTGACATTTTATCAACACTATAGTCGGGTTGCCACCACAGTAATCAAACCACAAGTCCCGAGTATGACAATTTCAACCTGCTCCGCGGGTATTATCCGACTTGACCCGTGATGGGTGGGTATTACCCGATCCGCAGTAGCATGGGGCGGAACATGGGTATCTACTTCTGACCCGCCCCGTCCCGTTCTAGACTCATTTTATCTCAATTTCTTATAATATCTATACATATTTCTCCTATTTTGACTTTTATTCAACTAGTTAGACTCAATTATCCATTCAATTATCAATATTTTTCATTCTTAAAATGCTTTCTCTACGTTTTATTGTAAAAATTAAAATTTACTTGTATTTTTTTTTTTTGAACAACATGTAAGAGTGGATCGACCCGCCCCGACTCGTAGTAGCGTGAGGCGGGACATGGGAATTGAGGTACCCGCCCCGCCCCATTGCCATCACTAGAGTCAACGACTACTGATATGGGACACCCATTAATGTGATGTTCTAGATGCCTACTTAGATCCATCCCATCTTGAACCAAATTGTCATATGTTTTTTTTCTTTCTCCCTCTCTTTCCTTTTTGACATTTTCCCAGGAAACAAACAGAAAACAATGGTTTGTAAGAAAGAGAAGAAACACAAAACTACTAACCAGTGTCGAGGTTTCCAATAATTGTATCTTCACCAAATCTTGCCTTCTTCCAAATGGATCCCGAGCTAACCAAACCCTTCTCCTCCTCCAGCCCCAGGAATGTCCATGAGTGAGTCGTGTGCAGTTTCCTGCCTCTGTTCAAGAACACTGATATTACCTTCGGGTGTTCTGCATTTTGGTCACCATTGATATTAACAGTCAGAATCAGTATTATCAACAATATTCATATGGTCCCAAAAAAAAAATTTACAGCTTACTGGCAATCTCAGCTGCAACTTGGTCATCTAAATTGGCCGCGAAGCCATTGATGTGCCTCGTGTAGGAGTAGAATATGGCGTCTCGAGCTTGTTCATGGCTGGTTAGAATTGAAATGAATGACAGTGAGAGGAGAAAATAAGAAGAAACAAGAAACACAACCATAATACAGCTAGAGATGTACCCATTTTACTGGATCTATACCGTGACATTATTACCTGCCTAGGAACGGTTCGAGGAACTCGAAATGAGCCTGTTCGACGAGACTCGAATCAGAAGTCGAGCCATGGGAGTGAGCTCCCAAGTACACCACATAGGAGGACTGCCAAAGAGAGAGAAGCTTAGTACAAAGAGTGAGTGGTTAAGAAGAGAAACATTTCTGATACCATGGGGAGAGTTAGGTTTTGAAGTTTTACTTACAGTTTTGAATGCATGAATAGGTTTGAGAAGAAGAGTGGCAAAAAGGGTTGAAAAGAAGAAGTGGAGAAGAAGCTTCATTGTGTGTGTGTGTGTGTTTTTTAAGGTCTTGTTGAAGTAGGTAAGGCAAAAGAGCGGTCTGACTGTTATGCAGGGGGCTTCTTTCCTTCTTGTTTGGTGACCTTTCCTTTTATAACCAACAATGGAATTGCTGAATGACAATTGGCCAAAAACCCCACCAATGCACTAGGTGTCTTTTTAACAATTTATCATGGTGGTGTATGACCACCAAGTCACTTCAACAATGGTGGTATCATGTATGGAGGATCTTTATCAAGTTGGTAAATACCATTTTACTAGGGATGCAAAATATCTGCAATCAGTACGAATTTTGACTTAGTTGGATAGGATAAAATCTGAATTTGATTTTCTTTTTTTCTGCTGGTATAGATGAAACTCAAATTCAAATATTGCTAGTAATGGCTGGACATTGTTTTTTCACTATCCAATCTGAACTCGCCCGATTATCAAACATGTTATTCTGATAAAATTTCAATTCGAAGACTGCCAACTACGGTCGAACCTTGGTTTAGACAACACAAATGTCTAAAATATTAAAAAAAAATTATTTCTTTTATATAGCCCAATACCTCTAATAATTTCACCTTAACGAGACTTAGAAATAAACAAAGGGACAAAACTGAGCTTTTCTATCCCATTTTGTGGAGGTCAAGTGGTTTGAACCAGGGTTCGATCATAATTGAAAAGTTTTGGATGGAAATATTAAAAGGACATGTTCGATAATTTTTTTCAAAGTACAGGGCGTGTTTGATGTAAAAATTAGTAGAATGACATGTTTGATAACAATGCATACTAGAGGGTCATATTATACCCATAACGCTTTGGTGCCTAAACTTAATAGATTTTAAGATTTTTGCATATAAATCATAAAAATATTAGTGGAGGTTTAAATTTAACACCTACAAAATTTTTGGCCTTACATTTTGATACCTAACTTTTTTAGTTTTTACAAATAGGTTCAATTTTGTATGTGTACTAAAAAATGTCAGAAAATGGGTAATCATATCCATTTTGAATATGAAAGCAATACTCATACCCTAACCTACCCAAACTCATATATAAAATCTCAAAGGGTTAATACCTTATTTTTTGCCTGAACTATGACCATATAATCAACTTTGACCTGTGGTATTAGAAATTAACAACCTGGTCTCAACTATGTAACATATAGACTCAATTGGCCCGACACATGATTTGACCGTCAATTTGGACGGTCAACACGCCATGTCATTGCCTTGTCAGCCTAAAAATTATTAAAATTTTTAAATTTAAATTGTTTTCCTAATTTCTATTATTTATCATTATCAAATTAACAAAAAATTAAAATTATAAAAAATTAAAATAAATTTAGTATAATAATTTGAATAAAAATAAAAATTAAAAAGTATAAAAAATTATAAATTATAAAAAATAAATAATAAAAATTAGTAAAATAATTTGAATTGTTTTTTAATGATTTTTAGGCTGACGAGGCAATGACATAGCGTGTTGACTAATGGTCAAACCATGTGTCGGGCCAATTGAGTCTATATGCTGCATAGTTGAGGCCAGGATGTTAATTTCTGAAACCACAAGCCAAAGTTGATTATATGATCATAGTTCGGGCCAAAATAAGGTATTAACCCAATCTCAAACTCATATAAACTTCAACTATATCCTACTCATAAACAATTGGTTTACTTGAGTTTGAATATATCCATGAATAGGTAATTGTCATCCCTAGTATTAGCATATTAATAAGAAATCCAAAAAATTCATAATGCTTTATAGATCATAATTAATATAATACTTTTGGATAATGATTTTAAGTTTTGAGAAAGAAAAAAATAGATGGTAATCCAATCAAAATGATTGTAAAAAAGGAAAGAAATTGGGTTATACTTATTCACGCAATGTATGAACTAAAATAGGGCTGGCTATTTGGTCCCGGACGGTTTGGTTTTACCCGAAACCGGACCGTATAACCCGGACCGGGACCGGACTGGGACCGGATAGCAAACAATGCAATCTCATATTCGGGCTTAGATTTGAGGTAAAAAACCGGATAAAGACCGGATAAGAGACCCCCAACACCTAAAATCAAGATAAAATTGGGACCAGACCGGGTCAAGACCGGACCGAAGCAAGACCGGACTGTATCCAATCCAATCTTTGGTCCTTATATTCCCGAAAAGACCGGACTGAGACCGGATCAATTTGGTCCAATTTAACCAGACCGGACCGTATAGCCACCACTAAACTAGAACGATAAATTGAAGAAATTACGACAAAAGAAAGAAAATAAAAATATGTTCTGATTCTAATTCTCTCAGAGCATTAAACTAAGAATGACTACAACAAGGTCTTTGGTCTAGTAGTTCTACTAATAGTCTTCAATCTGGAGTTCACAAGTAGCGATGGCAAAATGGAACCAATATTTTGATATTGTCCAAATCAAACTTATCCTGCGTCAAAGCAAGCTTGGTTAATTTTATTTTTGGAGCATATCATACCCATTTTTTTTTTAGTTTAGACCCATATTATTGGAAGTCCAAAATAAAACGGGTACACGGTTTTAATGCAAATTTATTTCTAATTTTTTTGTTATGAAACAAATAGAAAGATGGAAAACTTATATTAAAAGTGTATAAATGGGTTAAAGGTACGTAGTTCACAAAATGATTGTTATTCTTTTTTTATACAATCATCTAGAGCCAACCAGACTCATTTGGGTCTAATCATCTAGACCTAATTCAAACCCAATTCGAATCCAAAATTCTTAAAAGTGCATTCGTGTTCATATAACTCGGAGAATTACCTAATAAATTGAACCTCATAAGTCATAATAGAGTTTATTTTCTAATTATGAGAATATGTTCAAAATAGGCTTAAAACAACGAGGAAAACAGGCCCAGGTTCTCAATTTGGACTGGATAAAGAGCTTATCGGGCTGACTCACGCTCTTTCTTTACAGACACAGGCTAGGGCTACGGCCTCTCCCAAAGCCTCCGTGAGGAAGCCCATATCTCCCGTTTGTCATGCCAAAGGTCTAAAGGTCCAATCCTTCCTCCTTGTTGTTATAATCCGAGAAATTTTGTTAGATAGTACAAAAGAGTACTCAGATTCCACCCTAAATAAGTGATTATATTTGATATAGAAGTTGGCAAATAAATCATTTTAATTCGTAGAAAAAAATAAAGCATACAATCTACTCGATCTATCAAAATTTCACAAAACCAGAATTGCCACGCTACTCTAAACGCTCAAAAATAGTACTAACCAACTCCCCTAAGCTCAACTAGCCAAAAAGAGCTCTCCCTTTACAAACATGAACACCCCCAAAAAAAACAAAATTAACCCTAAAAATCAATGGCGGGCGGCTGGCGGCGTGAAATCATCACATAATAGAGCAGGCATTGGGGTTCTCGCTGCTAAAAGCGTCAAAACCCGACTGCCCGTACCCTTGACCATCTTGTTGATAATTGTTATGGTATTGCTGCGTAGCTCCTCCGCCTTCGTAGTACGGCCCCGGGACTGGCGGCGGCGGCGGCGGATACTGCCCGTACGGATAATACGGAGGCGGCGGGGACGGTTCATAGCTTGCCGGCTCCGGCGGCGGCGGTGCTGGATATTGCCAGTACGGATAATACGGCGGCGGCGGACCGTATCCCGGAGGGTACATTGGCGGCGGCGGAGGAGGAGCAGCCCCGTAATAATAATTCCCCGCGCCGCCGCCGCTCGATTCCCCGGGCGATTGGGGCGGGGACTCTGTGGTGAAGATCCTGACCCTGCGCCGCTTCTTCTTCTTCTTCAACTCCTTGCCCAGCCTCTCCTGGTCGATGCCGGTGCCAACCAGGTGAATAATCATGACGCCGTCCGACTCGCAGGAGACGCCCTTGCTGTAAAGTTCAGCCCCTGTCAGACCGACATTTCGTCAGTAAACTTACGAATCGAACAAGGGTTTGATCAAGTGGTAATGCGGCTAACCTCGAATCCCGAAAATCTTATTAAATAATACCTAATTACTAAAAATTAAACTTATAGGCATTCGTATGTGTAGCTAGCTAGGGTTTTTTTTTATTTACCTCCGGAGTTGCAAACTTGGTCGATGGTGTCGATTACTTTCTGCTGGCATTTGGGGCTGTTCCTGGCACAAAAGCCCTCCACCCTCACCTGAATCCTCTGTAACATCGCTGAAGATATATAGGACGAAATTGTGCTGGAAAAGAAGAACTGTGATGACGATGTGGGCAGAGCTTAATTAATTAGCTGCATGGCCATGTTCATGTGTGTATATATAGTGTTCTTGGCGCAGTTAAGCCAGTTGCCACGAGGAATGGGGAAACATTAACTCATAGGGAGGAGGAGCTAAGCTCTTCGGGGGGAAATTCCTAGTTAAAGAAGGAAGTTTCTGTAGTAATTACCTGTTTAGGGAATTGAATCTCTTTTAGTCATGTTTCAAAATAGAGGACTAATATCATTAATGAACAGGGATTTGGAGATCGAATAAATAACATCGTAGATGATGATCTTATTACTAAACAAGTCTGTCCTTTCCCGAAGAGGAAACGGAAGGAAACAGGGAGGGAGGGAAGACGACAAGCGCCCGGCCGTCGTGGAGAGTAAGTGACTTTTGGCTAGGGGTGGAAAAAAGGTTTGGTAAACCCGAATCGAAACCGAATTAAACCGAACCAAAACCGAAATAATGTTATTCGGTTAGGAATTCGGAAGGAAAATATGGATATTTCGGAAATCATGGTTCTTTCAACCGAACCGAAATTCCGACCGAAAAACCGAAATACTATAATTGCAACCTCCAAATGGTGGATTTTTATGTTTGTAGTTGTTTTTAGACTTAAATATTTGAAATGTTTTATGATTTATGTGTTGAAAAGTTTGATTTTATCATTGATAATGCATATAATTGCATATTTATTGTTTATATTAGGGGTGAAAGATAATTTAAAAGTGAGAAGATACGAGTAGCCTCACAAATTCGGTTGTGTGAAAAACCGAACATAATTATAATTCGGTTCAAACCGACCGAACCGAATTATAATTTGGTTCGAATTCGGTTTGAGATTTAGGAGAATTCGGTGACCCGATATTCATAATTTCGGTTCGGTCGAAACTGAACTGACCGTATGCCCACCCCTGCTTTTGGCCTCTGGGGTGGTTTTCTTCTTCATTTGATCAGCCAGAAAAGTAGAAATAAAATAAAACGCGTATTTTTACATACAAGTGTTTTGGTGATTCAAATGCGTTAATTATAAATTTTTAAAGCCAATTTAAAAGAAAAAAGGGCTCGACAGGCCACCAAATAGAGCGCCCTATTACCAACTCAACCAACTAAACTCAGGCGTCACTTGGATAGTGCATGCAACCGATCAACTATTTCTGGAGGAATTATTAGGGGTGGGCAACGGGACGGGACGGGATACCCGTCCCGTTTTAAACGGGTACCCAGTCCCGTTTGGAGACCAAAGTCCATCCCATATCCCAAACTCATATGGGAAACGGGTACCCATTTTTCGTACGGGACGGATAACGGTACCCATACTACCCATAAATACCCAAAATTTAAACCACTAAAATTTTAACAAAAGTTTAAACTTAACTTGTATTTGTTTAATAATCACAAGACACAAAATACATCCCAATTACAAATACTCGGTTTGCAAATAACGCATTCATGAACAATCACAACACATAGAAATAAATCATTCCAAGCACCAAATTATCAAATAAGAAGTTTCATTCAACACAACCAAATAGGAGGCATGCTTCTACTTTTCTTGTGTTGCTGAATGCAGAAAGTGTCCAAATTTTTAGGTTCGTGAGAAGCTAAAATCTATAGCAGAGAAGTTGAGTCTCACTGAAAGGGTAAGGGCCCTAGGCCCAAATGGCAAATGAAATTGAAATTGCAAGTTGAGGGCCGAAATGGCCAATGGGTTCTTAATTGGGTTGGGCTGCCTTTGTATTGAATGGGTATAACGGGTACCCATATTACCTAAACGGGTATTCGCGGATAACCCGCTGGTACCCATATTAAGAATGTAAAATCCCAAGTCCCATCCGTTTATAATATTACGGGTAATATGGGTACCCGTAACCCTTAAAAAACGGGACGAGTACGGGTATACCCAAATACCCGTTTCCCGTTGCCCACCCCTAGGAAATATGCCGATCTTACCATTGTTGTAGACTTGTAGTCTTTCAATTACTTGCACTTGTCAATCACCATTTTTGTAAAAGAACATTGATGAGACTTTGCATTTGCATTCCACAGTGGCGTTCATGAGAGCCAAATCCTCCACCGTGCGTGTATTTAGGATAGCGATGGTGAAGACTGTAATGGCGACCAGCCTTAATCCTAAGGCGATAATTTGTTAGGAATTGAGAATTTTGTGGGCAAAAATGTCAAATTATCAAGTTAGGGCGATAAATTTTAAAAAATATAGGGTGTTAAATAGGAATCCAGTAACGTTAAAAGCACAGGTTCAAAATAAATTTGTACTATAATGTTAAAAATTAAACTTGTACAATATATTAAAAAAAAACTCAAATTTTGATGCTATAAAGCATTGTAATGCTGAGCTTATTAGTTAGTATCTTTTTTGTTCTTGTTTAGGAAGGAGTCGCCCTGTTGAAGCAGCAATGCTGAGCTTATTAATTTTGGGCGGGAAGATGGATTCATGAGAGAGCCGTTATCCATATCATTAATCGACTAGGATTTTGAGATCCCTTTTGAGAGCCGTTATTAATGTATTCTTTTATCTGTCGGGGTTTGTGAGGGTCTGAAAATAAAATTTCCTACCCATTTGCGAGGAACCAAAGACTTGACTTTTATAAATGGATATAATTGTTGAAGATTATTGATTCTTTTTCGTCTCAAACCTATTTTACAAATCTTTTTAAAAAATAATTATTTCGACGATTTACCGGAGTTTGATTTGAAAAAATTTAGTAATTTTCTCTATAAACAAGCTCTTTGGTTGATGTAAACTAAAAAGTCTGCAAAAAATAAATCGACTAGGGATTTGGAGATCCCGGAGGGAATAGGTAAATGATTTGCGTGAGATAAGGTAATCATGAAACTTTATTGACTAGGACCAACTGAAGATTCTCTCTTACGAAACAAGATTTGGCCTTTTTTTTTTGGTCGAAAAGATGGCGCATTGTGTCTAGTGCATAGTATTAATAGAACGTTCTTGGGCAATGCCCATTACATCATATTGAAGCCAATATCTAAGCCCCAAGTCACACACATCGAAAAAATGTGTGCAAAAAGGGGAGTTGTGCCCAAGGTTAGCAAGATAATCAGCGGCACAGTTAGACTCTCTATACACATGAGAGATTTTGATCTCCCAATCCCGGTCCAAAAGGTTCCTAAACATGGCTGTCGTTTGCCCATGCCTGTGATCATCTTCCGAGTGGTTTTTGATGATCGAAATGGCCGTCTCCGAATCCAAATTGAGCTCAATTTTCCTATACCCTTCTTCCCAAGCAATCTTCAGCCCCTCCATTGCACCTTTCAGCTCCGCACGAGTGATCGAGCAGCTTTCCAAATTGCAGACAAAAGCTCGATGATACCTGCCGAGATGATCACGGAAGAGGCCACCTGCAGCCGCCTTGCTTGAGTCGTGGTGGACTGATCCGTCGCTTTGGATTTGTATCCACTCATGGTGTGGTGGTTTCCAAGCGATTTCCTTTGTCTGCAGCGCCCTCCTGGGTTCATTCGTTATGTTCTCCTAGAAAGAATGCGCGTTCCTGATGATGTTGAACCAAGCTCCAATCCTACCAAGAAGGCCCTGTTCCGAGTATTTCTTCCCATCTAAGACTTATTCATTCCTCTGTTTCCAAAGGTGCCAGCAAATAAGCCCGAAGTCGATACCCTTATCCTCGTCCAGCAGGTTCCTCATTAGCCATTCTTACAGTGGAATTTGGAGGTTTCTTTGCACCATTCTATGCCTGAGTTTGCACCAGACCTCTCTTGCTTTGCTGCAGCTGCGTAGGATGTGTTCAATTGTCTCTCCTTCCTCGTTGCAATGGTTGCACTTATCCGAAGTGGTGATCTTCCTTCTTTTGCGTTCATGGTTGGTCATCAGTTGGTCATGGAAAACCAGCCAAAAGAAATGATTGACCCTATTGGGTCCCTTCCACTTCCAGATGCCTTTCCAGCTTGTGTCAGCATCTCCTCCTTCATACCCAGTTGCTGCCAGGTAGTAAGAAGACTTCAATCTGAAGCGTCCATTAGCTTCAAGCCCCCATATGGTCTTGTCTTCTCCCAGTTCTGGGTTAGGTGGTTCACACCCTACAATCAAATTCAGAGCATCATCAGGCAGTAAACTCTCAAGGCTGCCCCAATCCCACTTACCATCGCCGTGGTCCATTCAGCCACAACAGAGTTTCGCTCACTGTCTGGGATGTCCTGCGTCAGGTAAGAGTCCAGGGTGATCCTTGTGTCAAGCCACAGGTGAGTCCAAAAGCTTGTAGTCTCGCCATTTCTGATGCTCTAGCATCATCCACTCTTCATTAAAGGCATCGCTTTGAGGATGCCTTTCCAAAGACTCGAATGGTTGCTTTTCTTCATGGAAAGAATGTCACCATTCCTCTGTTTAAAGTATTTTCCCTGCAAAACCTTGACCCACAAAGCATCCTCATGGTTCAATATTTGCCAAGCAAGCTTAATAAAAAAAGCCATATTCATACTACGAGGAGACCTCAACCCAAGCCCCCCTGACTCTTCGGTTTACAAATGGTCTCCCAAGAGATCAGATGTGCTTTTCTAACCCCTTCCTGAGACCCCCAAATAAACCCTCTGATTCTCTTGCCAATAGCCTCACAGATAGTAGCAGGAAGAACAGAAGACTGCATAGCATAGCTAGGCAGAGAATTCAGAACTGAAGGGCAAGGGTAACCCTTCTAGCAAGTGAAAGGGTTTTGGCTTTCCAAGTGGTGAGCTTATTATCCATTTTCTCAAGTATATACTTGAAAGTACTGTTATTCAATCTGCCATGCAGCACTTGGACTCCTAAGTATCTACCAAGGTCATTAGTAGATTGGATTCCAAGCTTAGCACAGATGACTGATCTAGTTCTATTCTGCAGATTCACAGAAAAGAAGATCCTAGATTTTTCTTTACTAATTAATTCACCAGAGGCCTGACAGAACCTCTCAAGATAGGACATGACCACATCAGCATGTTTGGGGCTCGCTTCAGCAAACAACACAAGGTCGTCCGTGAAGAAGAGGTGAGACAGGTAAGGA